TTTGTTCAAATGCATTAATTTATCGAAATTGTGGTCCATCTAGATATCAATGAGTGTGCATCTAACCCATGCAAGAATGGTGGTACCTGCTTTGATCTGGTAAATAGGTTCAGCTGCAAGTGTAACCCAGACTACTGCGCCAAAAGTAAAAAAAAGAAAGATAGCTATACTTTTTCCACTATAATCCATAACAATATAAACTGTTAATCTATTGAATTGGTTACCATAACTAGATTGAAAAATTATTACACTGAACTTCAAATACCAAAAATACCAATAGTATTACCCTAGTAATTAACATTATTTTACTTTCAGTTTTAAGAACGATAAGAATCCATACTTCGACAAGAACAGTAAAGTCAAGCAACCAAAGGCCAACGACAAAGACATCTAGTGAGTTACCTTACATTCCTTGTTATCGCTTATGACAGGTAATACAGGTCAGGGTTCAGAATCCGGCCCTTATTACTGAGTTGCTGTTGCTATGTCCCACAGGCTCAACGAATTATGATAATTCAGAAACACAGAAACACAGTCTGATTGCGGAAATTAATAAAAAAAATTTTAACTCGTTTACTGAATTGTAAAAATAAAACAAAATCGCCTCGTATTCCTCGTAGGGACGTATAAAACTAACAATGTACATGTCGTAGCCTAGTCTGTGGGGCAAGAATTCTGCTTGGAAAACTGCTCCGCGCAACAGAGTGATTCGCTATTCTTACATGGACTAGCGCGTGAATATATTTAGGCATTACGTCACCTGTAATTAATGTTCAACAATAAGCTTGAAGCGAGATGACGTTTTACCCCCGTCTCTAGACCATAATCCTTTTCACACTGTTTTGTTCTTTAATTATGACTATTGTTCCTGTATTCTCTAAGGAATCAAAAATTTTAATATGAAAGAATTATAAAAACTATTATGGTATAGAGTCGGGGGTAAAACGTCATCTCGCTTCAGGCTTATTACACAAAGATAAAATATTTCTCACTGAAGTTTTTAAGTGCGCAAAAACTATTATTATACTCAACTCAAGAAAATAAATTTTCATCTAGGCGAGGGCGGAAGGATGTCAAATTGGGCAAGTAGTTGCCTCTTTTGGCGACGAAAAATAATAAGAATAAATGATAATTTTAAGATCTAAAGAGGACTCTAAGCGATACGCTGTTTTTGTTTTTGTTTTTTTTTTTTTATCCAGACGTGATAGTTTTCATAATCCAAGTATTAAAGAATCATGATACATGTTTCTTATTTGGCAAAACTAGAGCTATGTTATTAGTTATGCACTAAGCCAGTTATTTTACATCAGTATGATATGGCCCTTTATGTTATCTACTGCATCTAGTTCACTTGGATGGATTGTAGCGTTCTGAATTTTGAAGAGGACTGGAGGAAATAAAGTTTAAGGAAGGGAAAATCGGATCATTGTTCAGTGTCATGCGTTGTAACTGCAATATTAATGATTGTTGACGACTGAATTTGATTGCTGGTAATACTAATGGCATGATATTTTTTTACAGAACTAATGCATACCTTTATCGATCCAACTCAGTAATTAACATTCAGCTTTTGTCTTTACCATTTATAGTTTTTAATATTTGAGAAATGGCTTCGTTTACAATTCGTTTTTCGTGGTTTTAAAATGTCTGTACGATGACAAACACTTTTTTATTCAGTTTAGTTACATCAATGTCCTTCTAGCAAAAGCAAAATGTGGATTTAAAATTCAGTAGACAATTTTCAATTCATGTTTATTGATCATATATTATTTGAAAATAATCTCTCACTCCCTATATTTGTTTCATTGTTTACGTTTCTCAAAATACATGGTCATTAGTAATAATACGAAAAATAAAATAAAATAAAATAAACGAAAGAAAGGAAGAAAAATAGATAAAATAAATAATATAGGAAGCAACTATATTTTTTTGTGCGCTTATAGGATTCCCGTGAAGAAAATACCGTTAACAGGCAACTTTCCATAGCAACACACCCATCACCTTCTATTACTAATTACAACGTATTGCAGGACTAGTATCAATAATCAATATCGCTAGCCAATGAAAAGTGAGTACTTTTTTTTTATTTGGCTACATTATTTTAGCTAACTGATTATTATATTAATGTTCTTAAACATGGTTGACGCATCTTGCGAGAACAAGGGGACATTTACCTCGAATCGATAATCAAGTGTGCCTACGAAACTTTGTTTGAAGGATGCCCTGGGATCACTCCATATTATTTTGCATTGCCACTATGGTGGTAGTTTTTGCGGGTAAGTAGCAGTTTGGATGTGATATGTCAAAACTGCAATATCAAACAGATTTTGGTGATAGCCCTAAGCAACTTGTTTATGGAAATACTTAAGAGTACTTACAATACCTGTGTATATTATTTGTGATTCTAAGAGTATTAATCTGTCAAATAATTCCCTTTGACTATAACGGCTCACATCGTTCCGAATTTCGAAAACGTTTTGCAATTAAAAGACTATCACTTTCAAAATTAACCACTTGGCAGCGAAGGTCCGTTCTGTAAGCATATCTAATAAGATGCGACCGTCGCGCAAACTTGACAACGTTTATTTGGAATATTGTGGCTTATACACCGAAGCAACGAGTTTACTAGCTGCATTAGCAGATGATCTAAAACCGTTTTTTTTTTTTATACCTCACCACGTTTGTTGACGATATCTCATAATTTGATGTATCGAATGGTTTGAACCGCCTTTAGCAGACTCTATACTTCGTGTGTGAACACAATCTTTGTTTGATTAATAGTGTAGTGCAGTAAACAGAAAGCTTTTGTCGCTAGTTAGGAATTTCACACAACCTTCTTGAAAACCGCTCTTACCAGAAAGCCCAAACAGATAAACCTTATTCTCATATTAATACAATAGCTATCAATACCAAATATACATATATATTTGTACATCACCTTACAGCTTCCTTGGAGCACTTACTGAAAATACCAGACGTCAATGTGTTTTCTGGCCAAGAATTCAAAGTAAAGCTAAATTTTACCAGCAAAGAAGCTTTACCAGAAGAAGTTTCCTTTGTCAAATTGAGGAATATATCTGGTCAACTAAACATTGAAATTATGTTTCTTTATTATCATAAACATACGGGACTAATGAGTGGAAGTGTTCACGATCCTAGAACCTCATTCATTGGGGATTTATCATCTGGCCAGCCGTGGTTAAGGTTTCTTGATGTGAACGTTAATGACTCGGGCACTTACGGGGTACTATACAAGAGACCCAAAAATACGGAAATCTTTGAATCTGTGTTTGAATTGAATGTCACACAAGGTATGGCACGCGTTGTCATGGAGATGATACATGATAGAAGACCCTCTACGACTCTCCCTCCATCTCTCTTTCTTTCTCTCTCTCTCTCCCTCTCTCCCTCTCTCCCTCTCTCCCTCTCTCCCTCTCTCCCTCTCTCCTAATGTAACAGAGAAAGGACTTAACACCAAAGGACTGCATTTAAATCGTGCAGGAATAGGAATCCTTGCGCAAGATTTCAATAAATATCTTAAATCTAAAGCATGATTAAAAGGTAAGGAACCACTAGACGAGACAGATTCCTCTATTCATTCCTCTAGTATTGTCTCAAATACTAATATTGATAAGTCTGACGGTGATAATAGACCTCATTCTATTCCTAATGTTAGAGGTTTTAAAATGGCCTCTTTAAATATAACTAGTCTTGTAGCTCATATAGA